GTTGGAAGATATTTTTCTGACATTTACTGCCCTCTGGACTGTAAAGTGGTTTCCCAGGTGGGTGCAGTGGGGATGGCTGGCTGAGCCCTGAGGCTCCATCCTCCTTTGCTTCCTTAGCTGGCAGTTGTATTTCCCTTTTGTCTCTGGAACTGGATTCAGGGTTCAGGTCTGGAGTAAAACTCGGTGTTAAGTTTACCTACAGGAAAGGGAGCAAACCTAGAGAGAACAAACTTGTGAATTACAAAGAGAAGGGCTTTGGAGGTGTGACTTACAGGTGTGCTGGAGGAGAAGGTGGAGGAAAGTGGCCTAGACAAAATTCTCTGTACACCCTAGACAGTTTTCCCCAGTGACCTGATGGTTCTTCCCAGGGGTCAGACAGCACATCCCCAGGACCCAGTGGCTCACCCTGAGGGCAGAGCAGTTCACCTCAAAGGCTGACTGGCTCACCCCGAGGCCCAATGGACACACTCTTTAATCTTTAGGATAAAGATCTTGGCTGAGCAGCCAGCACCTCCCACTGTGCCATCAGGGTAATTTGTTGTTGTCTGGTACCATCAAATTGACTGACACTCAAAACGACCCCATAAACAACAGGTCTCAGCCTCGTCCTCTCCTGTACCATCCTCTCTATCTCCGACATGCGTGGCCTCTCTGTTTCAGTCACTGTGTCAGTCCACTTCGCTGAGGGTCATCCTCTCGTTTGCTGACCCCTTCCAAGCACCATGTCCTTCTCCAAGGACTGACCCTTCCTGACAACATGCCCAAAGTGTGTGAGACAGACTCTTCAGCCTGGCCTCTAAGGAGTGGTTGTTGTTTTGTTATGCACGACCAAATTGGAACCAACTCCTAGCAAACCCTCCAGTGGGTTTCCAGAGGCAGTAAGTCTCCTGGGAGGAGATTGCCCATCCTTCCCCTGAAGAGAAGCTGGTGGATTTGAACTGCATGAGTTTGGGGTTGAAGGGCAGCTTTCTATCACTAGGCCACCAGAACTCCTTTTAAGGAGCACAGCAACCTTTAAAATTATATCGTTATTAATATCAAAAATATAAAAAAATTTTTAACAAGGAAAACCCCAAATACTTTCATAAAAATAAGCAGAAGATTTTAATAGATGTCTTACTGAAGAATAAATACAAATTGATGATAAACACATAGACAGGTTCTCAGTCTCTTAGTCATTGTTCTTGTTGTTAAGTGCCATCTAGTCGTAGGCATTTCCCATCGCAATACGTTTTTTGATTTCCTGGCTACTGGTGCCAAGAGTGTTGACCGTGGAGCCGAGCAAACTGAAGGTGTGAACAATCTCAATCTCTTCACCATCCATCCTGATGCTACCGATTGGTCCAATCAAAAAACGTATTGTGATGGGAAAGTCTGCAGTTAGGGACCTCTCTAAAGTACTCAAGAGCAACGGTGTCTCTCTGGAGACTAAGGTGCACCTGGTACAGGCCATGGTTTTTGCAATCACTTGTTATGCATCAGAGAGTTGGACAATGACTAAGGAGGATAGAAGGAGAATTGACGCCTTTGAGCTGTGCTGGAGAAGAGTACTGAATGTACTATGTATGCCAAGAAAACAAATAGATTCATCCTAGAGAGGGTTAAACCAGGCTGCTCCTTGGAGGCAAGGATTCTGGGGCTTCGCCTGACATACTTTGGACATGTTGTAAGGAGAGACAGGTCTTTGGAGAGGGACATCATGCTGGGTAGAGTGGAGGGAAAGCGCAGGAGGGGAAGACCCTCTATGAGGTGGATTGATTCAGTGACTGGGGTAATCAGGATGGGTGTGTCAGAGGCAATGAGATAGGGCAGAGACAGGATAGAGCAGGGTTTAGGGCTGTTGTACATAGGGTCGCTATGAGTCGCAAACGACTCCACGGCACATAACAACAACAACAACAACAGTCGTAGGCGACTCATTGTGACCCTATGAACGAAAGTCCTCGACAGTTATTAAGGTAGTCACTCTTCTTATACAGTACGTATTCACTACTTGGTAATTACTTGTTGTGTTGCCTTACACAAATTGATTGAATTTTTAAAAACTTAGTTACCTGTTGGCTTCTTTTGCATTTCAGGCCTTTTCCCCCTGATATGTGTCTATTCCTGAACTAGGAGCTTGCGTTTTGAAAGAGAAGTGCTTCACAAAGTGAGCTGGGGGAGGGAGAGGGAGAAACACGCACTTCAGTGAATGAAAACCCAACTGTCCGTAAACTTTCTTTTGAATCACAAGTTTTAAAACTGTACACAAATGGAAAAAGGAAAAAAAAAGATGTTATGAGTGAAATCTTGAATGATCCAGGAAACATCAAAAGAAGATGGAAGAAATACGCAGAGTCACTGTACCAAGAAGAATTGGCTGACATGGGAAGACGTCAGGAAGTATCACATGATCATGAGTTAACTGTAATGAAGGAAGAAGTTTAAACTGCACTGAAGTAACTGGCAAAAAAAGGCCTTGGAAATAAATCAGGTAATAATCGGCATGTTTCAAATAAAAAATGCAGCTCTGGTCGTGCTTACCAGTCTGTACCAGGAAATTTAGAAGACAGTTACCAGGCCAACTGACTGGAAGAGATCCAGATTTTCTCCCATTCCTGTAAAAGGTGATCCAACAGAATGTAGAAATAATTGAACAACATAATATCACTTGTAAGCAAAATCTTGTTGAAGATCATCCAAAAATGACTAGAACAGTACAGTGACAGAGAACACAAAATGTGACTGGAATACAAACTGGGCTTAGAAGAGGACATGGTACCGGGGCGATAAATCCAGGTGACATCACCAACGCCGGGTGGATTCTGACTGAAAGCAAAGAGTACGGGAAGGAGGCCTATTTATGCTTTACTGACAGTGCAGAGACATTTGATCGTAGGGATCCTAACAAACTGTGGCTAACACTGAGACGAACGGGAACCCCAGAACGCTGATTATGTTCATGGAAACCTATACCTACATCAAGAGACTGTTGTCTGAACAGAGCAAAGGAAAATTGCATGGTTTGAAATCAGGAAAGCTGTGTGTCAGGGGTGTATTTTCTCCATACCTGTTCAATATATATGCTGGGTAGACCATTTGAGAAGCTGCACTCTGAAGAAGAAAGTGGCATCAGGATCAGAGGAAGATTCATCAAATACCTGCCTTGTACAGATGACACATCTTGCTTCTTGAAAGTGAGGAAAACCTGAAGCACTTGTTGCAGAAGATCAAAGAGTATAGCTTTCAATATGGATTACATCTCAATATCAAGAAAATAAAAATCCTCACCACTGGGCGGATAGGCAACTTCACGATAGAAGGAGATAAGATTGAAACTGTCAATGATTTCATCTTACTTGTCTTCACAATCAACACTTTTGGTACTGGCAGGTACCAAGGAGATCAGGAGGTCTCAGGAGATTGAGAGATGTGTTGTCTTGGGAAAGTCCGCACTCAGGGACCTCTCCAAATTACTGAGGAGCAATGATGTCAGCTTGTAGGCTAACGTGTGCCTGATTCAGACCATGGTCTTTCTGGTTGCTTTCTATGCATCTAGGAGCTCAAGTTTAAGGAGAACAAAAGAAGAATCTATACTTTTGAACTGTAGTACTGGAGAAGAGTATTGAACATATACTATGGACTGCCAAGAGAACACACAGGTCTGTCCTGGCGAGGGTAAAACCAGGTTGTTCCAGATTTTACCTGCCTGGACATGTTGTCAGGAGGGACCAGTTCTTGGAGAAGGATATCACAGTTGGAAGGAGGGTCAGCTCAGGAGAGGAAGACCCTGGACAACATGGGTTGACACAGTGACAGTGCAATGGGAGCAGGTGTGTCAGAGATGGTGAGGTCGGCGCAGGATAGGGCAGGATTCTGAGTCATTGTTCGTAGAGCTGCGATGATTGTAGTTGACTTGATGCCACATAACATCACAAACAAAAGTGAACAGAACAAGGTTTTATGTCAGAATTTTTATTTAGAAATTATTACTTGCTACGCTGTGATTCCTCATACAGCTCTGATCACATAAAGTTTTGTGTTCTTTTCATACACATTTTTTCCTGCAAAAATAAAATAGACACACACAAAGCATGCTAATGCTTAAAACAAATGATCAAAGCACAAAACAGAGTTTCTAAAATTAGCATCTTCCTCTGTAAATGTCAGGTAAAGAGAAAGTATTGCTGATGGTGGCAGTAGCCTGGTGGGGTGCTCAGTAAGATGTGAGGCTTGTACCAGAGCTGAAGACTTAGGCAGGTGTTTCTAGTCCTACAAACGTATATATAAGCCTTTCCTATGAAATTGTAATTCTAAAGACTTTTTATTCAAGAATCCATTTTTCCATTTGTTGTTGTTTGTTGGTATGCATCATTGAGTTGGAACTGACCCATTGTCGACTCACCAGCAGTAATCACATGGGAAGAGATTGTCCATTCTCGCTAGGAGCAGCTGGTGGATTCGAACCACCTGCCTTAGCTATTACAGCGCATATTCTTACCACTAGGCCACCAGAACTCCCATAGAAGTGCTAAACATAATGACAAAGATCTCCTTAGTTATATCATCAAGATTGATTCCTAGACCGTTCAGAGGTGTTAAAGAAAAACAAAAAAATTCATTGCCATTGAGTTGGAAATGACTCAAAAATGATCTTCCAGGGGGCATTTGAAAGCTGTATATGCTAAGATTTCCCATCTTTCTCCCTCAGAGCTGCGGATGGATTTGAACCAGAGAGATGTCCTCTTTGGGTTAGTAGCACAATGCAAGCTCAGTTAACTCCTTAAGGCCAGTTGTCTCGATTCCCAGCAGATATGACATCGTTGCTAGTTTCTCAGGTCTTTTCACAGATGTCTTCACTCAGAAGAGTCTTTCCTTCATGTTTGAGACTCAGTTCAAGTTTGGACAATTGTTTTCAAGACAAATGCCTGCCGCTCACCGCTGCTGGATGAGGCACGTTTTCAGACAGGAACCACGTGGGATTACCAATACCAGGGGGGCTGTCTTCCTTCCTGCAACGATCAGCTCGTGCCCTTATCATCTGCAAAACACAAACAAACAAACATGCATTTCCCTTAATGCCACCACATATTTAAAAATATCCCCCAGGGATCCACTCATTTCTGTATCACATATGAAACAAACATTTCCAGGCAAATCACATTGTCAAAGTCATAATAAAAGCCTAATTCAGGGTGATGTGATAGTGGATATTAATAAGCCACAGATACAGAGAACTATAGATATATTTCTTCCTGGGTAAACAATGCACTCTCAAAGTCCATGTTCAGCAAATTTAATAGCTAGTCACATTGGGACAGTGGTAGCTCAGGAGTAGAATTCTCAGTCTCCAAGTGGGAGACCAAGGTTTAATGTCAGTCAATGGACCTATGTATAGATACCACCTTTCTGTCACTGGAGACTTGCAGACTACTCAGACCATTCCAGAATGTAGAGAAGGATTAAGTACTCCCAAACTCATTTTATGAAGCAAGTATAACTTGCCTTGATACCAAAGTCACATAAAGACACTTACTGCATGAACGTAGACAAAAATTCTCAACAAAGCTTAAGTCACCAGTATCTGTCATGTACAAATATAATACATTGTGAGCAAGTACTTCCTGAACCAACCAAGTGGGACTCAAGGTTGGTTGAACTTCAGAAAAGCAACCAATGTATCCTTTACAGAAACAATATAAAGGAAAATAACCACATGGTCATGGAAATAGATCCAGAGAAGATATGTAAAAGAATCAATATGTATTCCTATGAAATAGGAACAGATGAGAAATTCTTCAGTATAACTAAAGGCCTATGTATGGAACTAATAGTCAACATCATTCTCAATGAACTGAGACTGAAAGCATCCCCATCTCCTTTGCAAATGGAATCAGACAAGGACACCCTTTAGCACCACCCATATGTGACATGGAATTGAGGTTTCACTAGTGCAATGAGACCAGAAAGGGAAATAAAAGGCAGCCAAATCTCTGCACAAGATCAAAGACTATATAATCTTCAAACTGGATTACATGTCAACATCAAGAAGGCAAACATCCTCATCACTAGGTCCATGAGAGATGGAGAAAAATTGAAATTGTCAATGATTTCATCTTCCTGGGATACACAATCAACATCCTTGGCACCAGCGATCAAGAAATCAAAAGATGTTTAGTTGCATTGGAAGTCTGCAGTCAAGGTCCTCTCCAATGTACTGAGGAGCAATGATGTCAATTCAAAGACCTAGTTTCCCTGATTCAGGCCACAGTCTTTTCAATCTCTTGCTATACATCTGAAAGCTCGACAATGAATAAGGATGACAGAAGAATAGATGCCTTTGAGTTGTGGTGTTGGACAAGAGTACTGAATATTCCAAACTGACAAAAGAATAAATATGTATGTCTTGGAGATGACAAAACTTAATCTGACATACTTTTGGCATTTTTCTAGGAGAAGCTATTCCTTGGAAAGGGACATCATGCTCAGAAAGGAGGAAGGTCAGCAAAAGAGAGGCAGATCCTCAACTAGTTAGACTGACATAGTTACGGCAGCAATGAGCTCACGTGTATCAAAGATGAGGACAGCACAGGGTAAGACAGGGTCAGGTCTGTCGTTCACAGAGTCACTGAGTCTACTCGACAGTGCCTCACAACAATAACAGAAAAGATAAAAGCAAGCAAACAAAACCTATCAAACCGAAAAAAAAAATGTTAGCAAAAATGGGGGAAATTAGAACCTTTATTCATTGCTAATAGGAATGTAAAACAGTATAGCCTTTGTGCAAAACGAAGTAGCTATTTTTTAAAAAGTGCAAATCAAACAGTATATGACCCAGCAATTCCACTCCTAAATATAATAGACAATAGACTTGAAAGCAGAGACTCAAATAAGTATTTGTACACCAATACTCATTGTAGCATTCTTCAAAATATACCCCAAAGATCAAAGTATCCTGATTGTTCACGAACAGAAGAATGGCTAAAAAAATGTACACACATACTGTGGAACACTACTCAGCCAGTAAGAGGAATGAGCCTTGATGCCCACTACAGCATGAAAAGACTTCAGGACTTCAGACTGAGTGGGTGAAGTCAATCACAGAATAGACAAATATTGTATGACTTCACTTGCAGAAAAGGACAAGTGTAGGCATTCACTGAAGTCTGGTGGCCTAGTGGTAAGAGGCTGTGCTACCATCCCGGAAGCACACAGTTTGAGGTTGCCGTAGTCACTGTGTAAATCTATCTCTTTGAGGGTCTTCCTCTCCTTCGATCGTCCTCTCTCTCCCAGCATCGTACCTTTTCCCCAAGGACTGGTGTCTCCTGACAACATGCTCAAAATATGTGAGACAAAGTTCCACCATCCTGCCTCTAAGCAACAACCTGATAGTGTTTCCTCCAAGACAAACTTGGGTTTTTTCCCCCGGAAAGTCCCTGGGATATTGAACAACTCTTCTCCAATACCATAATTCAAAAGCATCAATTATTTCCTTCAATCTTCCTCACTGTCCAACTTTCAGATGCAGAGGAAGGAACAGAAGATGTCATGGCGTGCGTCAGGCACACCTTAGCCTTTAAACAGACATCCTTGCTCTTTAGCACTCCATAATGGTCCCCAGTAGCGAATATCCCCACTGTACCATGTCTTTCCTTGTTTTCTCTAGAAGAACAGTCATATAGCATTTGTCGTTTTGATTGACTTCCTTCACTCTGCATAATGTCTTCCACTTCCAGCTGTTATTAATTTGATTCTGTCAACACATTTGACTGGTTTCTTTGGCCTTTGGGATGTATACCTCCCTTGCTCTTTCATTTTGCAGTCCCTGTATAACCGTGATGTGAAGACCCTCTTTCATCTCTATCCTGCCATCAGTAGCTGTCCCACTGAGTTCTCATTGTTCATCCTCCACTAGCCCGTTACCTTATAGACAGAACCAACTCAAACCCGACCCTCCAGTGGGTTTTCAGAGGTTGTAGCTGGCGTGGGAGGAGATTGCCTGTTTTTCTCTCAGAAGGTTGCTGGTGGACTTGAACCGGTCGCTCTTAGGTTAGGAGGTCAACTCTCTATGAACTATGTATGGCACCACAGCTCGACTAGTAAAAGCCCAAACAAGCCGAGGTACTGCACAATTCTGTCCTCAAAGTTACCTTCCGTTTCTTGTTGGTAATCATCTGACGCTGGGATTTCTTCTGAAAGTGCCTCTTCGTTGTCTTTCACCATCAAGTCTCCATTTGCAAAGAGCATGTATAGTTTCTGGAACAAATCAGTCGTGGTCTCCAAGCCATGGCCATGGTCACTGCCTAGTACAAGCAAATGCTGCTCCTGGGACTCCAATGTGCTGTCGTCTGACTCGATTTCATAGACTTCAGGAAGAAGCCTGTGGTGACAGAGGAAAGAATGAGAAACATGCAATTCAAGTCCCTAACAGAATTAAATGTAAATACTGCCAGACAGATAACAGGAATGCACTTTTATGTATGTGACTGAAATAGTCCAAATGTAGTTTGTGGATGAAATTTTACTTGGGGAAAATGTCTTAATATTACGAAGGGAAATTAAGCATCTGTCTTAGTGTTTTACAACTCCAGGCCGATACTATTCACACTACTGAGTTTAATTGAGACTTAGCATGTCCAAAATCAAACCTGAAAACCTCTTCCCACCAATCTTCCATGGGGTCAATGGCGAGTGTGTTTGCTGCTCTCTCCAGACTGTTTCTCTGAGCCTCGCAGAGGCTGTGAAGATGGCTCAGGATAAGGCAAGTTCCCCTTCTCTTTTCAGAGGTCTGTGAGTCATCATTGACTTACAGCAGCTAATAACTACGGAAGCTGTTATGTTCCGTTTTCAGTATTGTGAGTTTCCCAACGGGCTGCCAAGAGAACAAGCAAATGTGCCCGGAGGAAGTGTAACCAGGGACCTCCTTAGCGGCAACGATGGTGAAACCTGGCCTCACATACTGTAGGCACGTGGAAAAGTACAACATACTTGAGAAGATGGAGGGTCAGCGAAAGAGAGGAAGACCCTTAACAAGACAGGTTGACCCAGTGGCTGTCACAGGGGGCTCAGGTCTATGAGGGATGGTGCGGATGGGGAGGGCAGAGACCAGATCCACGGTGCCTGGGGCCACTCCGTGTAGTAATGGACTTGACGGGGCCCAATAACAGCAATCCTGCTCAGTAACATCAGAGAGGTTAGGATTTAAGACTCGAACGATAATTACATCGGATCACTAATAACGGCTTACTTATTATTGTTGTTGTTGATGGCTGTCGAGTCGAGCACGACTCATAGTGAGCGACCCTATGAAAAAAGACCTGAAGCCTTTCTAGAACTATCGTTGCCTCTCAAAGTTCACAGTTTCCAGAGGCATGTTGTTTAGTTATTAGGAATAATAATAATAATAATAATATGCCTTATGGAAGAAACAAAACTGAGAACACAAGGTTTCTTCCCCACATATTTTCTTTACTGTTACCCAGACCTGGTGCACCGTTGTTACACACACACGTGCCTGTGCACAAACACACTTGCACACACTGAAAACTAAAATCCCCTTAACTTCCAATTCTTTTCATAAAGGCTGTTTCCAGCGATAGCACTGTCCAATCTGTGAATCTCTCAACTCACAGCGCAGTGCTTTCTGCCGCGGTGTAGCCTGGACCAGGAGTGGTGATGTTCGTGCACTCGGGTCTCAGCTCAGCGGGGGGGTATTGGTTGATGGCACCTTAGGAAAGAGGAAGCGGGTTAGTCTACATTGACCCTACCACTCTCTGACTATTATCCAATCAGGTCATCTTTTCTTTTTCTGGGGTTGGAGGTATTTTAAAAGAAAACAAATTTTGTTAGGGGCTTTATAAGGTAGGAATCGTCTGATGTTAAAAGATCTCATGGAAAAGTCAATGACATATAGTAATGATTTCGTCAAAAGTGCCTATTTTCTGTATGTGATTTAATTCAGAGACAGTGCCTAATCTCTCCTCTGAGCTGTTTCTATCTTTCTCTCTGAAAGGAGGGTTCTTCCAGGAGACTATTAGTGAGGGAACCGTGTGCTCTATTTATCGTGGACCTGGAAGAAGACTCCAATTTTTGACAAGTAAAGAGTCTGACACTGACGATAACACCTGGATTCCAAGATTCCTGAGGGCTATGTGGCCCCGGGGCATTCTGGGGTTGAGTCCCTTATAAAATGAGAGGAGCTTAGCCAACTAATTTTTCCGTGAGATCTCCGCCTTGTCCCTAGATCACGGGTGTAGGCCAGGACTTATTAGACACAGTAAATGCTTCGGTTTGCCATATACCTGTCCCCTAAAATGAACCCCTCTCCAAGCCCCTCTGAATAAAGACAACCTCAAAGCCCCTACTACCTAGTGATATCTGAGCCTAGTGGCTGGATCTGAGGCTGTAGAAGAGATCTGAGCCCACAGCTCATAAGAATTCAAGTCAGAGTCAAAGTTAATTTACAATGACAAGATCAAATGGAATTCCTTGGAGCAATTTGAGAGCGGTGGTAATGGGATATCCTTCATTACAGTCATACACCTTGTTAGGGCTTCACTAACTGAGCACAACGTAACGTGTAAGAGCACAGCTCGGCCATTAGGATGAGCCAATGATTGACGGGGGGACTTTGAGCAATTTATCATTTCTGAGCCTCAGTTTTATCATCTATGAGAAGGGGATACTAACACTTTCTTTTGAGTACTATACTGAGCATTAAGTAATATAACCCATGTAAAAAGTTTTATCTCAGTCCCTGGCACATAGTAAAAAACAGTCATAGACAACGATTAGTTTGCGAAATTTGCTCATATGGAGATTTCCTAGCAAAAAGCTTTGGATTAATTAGACCTGACTTGTTATCTTTGGGGTTTTCACTACTTCCGGCCCCTGTCTTTAAACTTCACCACTCTTAACTGAAATGAGGCTAAATAGAGTAAGTGGTTATACATAGAGACGTTCAGTCTAGTGTGAGAGCCACAGAAATGAAAATCTGAATGACTTACGTCTGATCAAGTGGACAAATGCCTTGACAAACTTGATGAGGTAGTCCAGATTGGGCTTATGGATTCGGCCCAGCTGGACTAGGTGATGATCCAAGGGCTGGCTGGCTAACTCTTCTAACTCCTTCTCATTGTGTAGAGGACCAAAGGAGAACACAAATATGGCGTAGCCTTGACATTTGGCTCTCAGAGATACTTTCCTTAAGACTTTTTTGTCCAAAGGGTTGGTTTCACCAGCAGAGATTATAAAGAGAACTTTGTTTTTCCGCCCATTGGGGACTCCTTCAAAGACATTGTCAAGAGTCCATTGGAGAGCGTGGCCAGTAAAAACATCTCCATTGAGCCGTTGAAGAGAGTCATGGAGATGATCTTTCATTTGATGTAAATTGCTGTAAGTAACCAAGTCAAATTCCAGGTAGACTGGGCATTGTTCAGTGTCGGGCAGGTAGCCGAGGGGAGAGTAGCTTAAGACCGCCACTCGGTCTCCTAACAGGGAGGTCAGAGGATCTGGGGCAATATGAAGGTAATCAAGCACCGAGGCGATGAAATCTTTCACTTCCTTAAACTCCTCCTGTCCTACTCTGTGGGAAGCGTCTATGAGGAAAGCCACGTCCATGTAATAGTCTTGAAGACTAACATTTCCAAGTTCATGCATAGGACCTAGTCCTTCTTTTCTGTCATGATGTCCATGTCCTGCAAGAATAACTCGAGTTACTTATTTTGGTAGAAGGGTCAACTCCAAATTCTGCCTCGAGAGTGGCAGACACACAGCAGAGTATTACCAGACCGCTTCCCCTACACATCATGAACCAAGCACAGTGTTCGTTCTCTGATGTGTTTTCTTTACCGCTAAGCTGGTCCAGCGGTAAGGAGTTGTACTGTCAAGACAAAGGCACACGGTTTGAATCTACCAGCTGTTCCAAAGGAGAAAGAGGAGTCATCTCCTCCCATGTGATTCACGGCTTCTGAACACCCATCACAGGGTCAACTACGGATCGGTCTGACTTGATGGTACACAACCAACAGCCAAAATCTCTAAGTAAGACACCTGGAGCCTGATGTCACATGGCAGGGGGAATCCTATTAAAGTTATATCTTACATCTTTGTCAAAGGATTTATTATTCAACTATTTTCCATAGGCAAGATCAAAAACATATGGCCATTTTGAATGTATCCAAAGTGGTTACAAAAATTGGTGTATGTATTTGCATACCAATCCATTATATATATTAACTCCAGTATAAAAATTTATATGTCAGAATCACATTTACTGATGGCACAAACAGATACACCTTTATACACGCATCCAGGATAAGACCTATGCACTGAAGTGGCCTAGTGGTAAGAAATTGTGCTGCAGTCTTAAAGGCACGTGGTTCAAATCCACCAGCTACTCCATAGGAGAAGGATGGGCAGCCTCCTCCTGTGTGACTAACGGCTTCAGAAAACCCACTGGAGGGTCAGCTATGAGTCAGTTCAGATGCTCCAGTACTAAACAACAACAACATCAGTGCCAGAACTACCACTCACGTGACACGTTGCCATTCTGCGGTCTGCGTGTTGTTATAATGTTGGCAGCTATGTAGTTGGTATCGCAAGAACCAGCAAGGCCATCTGCTCCGCACAGGGTCCAGCAGAGCGTTCAGACTAAGATCAACTCGGAAGCAGGACTGGCCACTCATTTCTGAGGTAACGAGTCCCAGAAAACTCCCTGGGGAGCAGCAGCACGTCATCCCCTGTGGTGTTGAAAGACAAACTCTCCGGGGTGAGGCCCTCAAAGCATGACTGGGGAGGAACTGAGTCCTCTCACAAGTGACCGTCTGAGTGAGATACTGACATAGGAGGGATCAAAGAAGACGGAAGGAATGCACAGACGTCACTCTTCCAAAAGTAACATCTCAGGTGTTCAACATCTCAGGAAGCAGCATAGGATCAAGAACCAACGGTACTCAAAGTAGGACTTCAAGCTGCACTGAAAACATTCATTTAAAAAAAAAAAAAGACCCAAGGAAGTGACAGAATACTAGCGGCAGTGTTTCAACAGAGAGCTGCAGCCCTGAACACACTCACTCGTCTACACCAAGCGATTCAGAGTATCTGGCGAATTTACCGGAAATTATCGATATTTGTTGTTGTTGTTGTTATGTGCCGTCGAGTCGCTTGCGAGTCATAGCAACCCTATGTACAATAGCCCTAAACTCTGTCCTGTGCCAATCTCATCGTCTCCGATACACCCATCCCTATTACCCCAGTCACCGAATATTGTTTTGTGCCCGTTTAAAAAAAGTGATGCAAAAGAATATGCAAATTATTTAAAAATATCATTAATAACGAACACTAGTAAAATCTTGCTGAAACTCATGTAAAAATGGCTGACACAAGTATATTGACAGTGACCTGCTAGTAATTCAACTGGATCCCCAAAAAGCTGTGGAATGAGGGCTGTCACTGTTGATGTCAGCTGGATCTTTGCTGAAAGCAGAAAATATCACAAAGATATTTATGTGTATCTTATGGGCTATACTAAGACATTTGACTGTATGGATCCCATTAAATTAGAGAAAATATTTTTTTAAAAAAACCAGAAATTCCAGATAACTTCATTGTACTCATACAGAACCTTTCCATAGACCGAGAAATAATCATTCATACAGAAAAGGGAGATACCTCATCAGAAAAATCAGAAAATGTGTGTATTAGGGTTTCTTTTCTCTAGAACTACTTAATCTGCATGCTAAATAAATATTCTAACAAACCAAAGAAGAACGTGGCACCGGGATTAGAAAAAGATTCACCAACAACCTGTGACACGCAGATGCCACAACATTGCTTGCAGAAAATGAAGACGACTTGATGCATTTATTGAAGAAACTAACAACCCTTAATCTTCCAAATGGATTACCCTTCAACAAAAAGAGAACAAACTGGACCAATAGGCAATATCATGGAAAATAGAGACAAGACTGAGGTTGTAAAGGATTTCATTTTACATAGAACTATAATTAACATTGATGAAACGACAATGAAGAAATCAAAGAAAAATCGCATTGGGAAATCTATTCCTCAGAACCCTTTTAAAGTGTAGAGAGCAAGGGTGCCAACTTGAAGACTGAATTGCATCTGACCTAAGTCGTAATATTTTTCATTTGCTTCAGATGCATGTGAAAGTTGGACGATGAATGAGGAACATCAAGTAACTGATGCCTTTGAATTGTAATGTGGCAAAAAATATTGAATATACCATGTACTGCCAAAAGAACAAACAAATCTGTCTTGGAAGAAGTGTGGCAGAGAGTTTCTGAGAAGCTTCATCTCACATACTTGGGCAAGTTATCAGGAGTCAATCACTGGAGAAGGACATCATGCTTGAAAACAGAGGAAGAAAGAGAGTCAGCGAAAAGGCGGCAGACCTTAGTGAGATGATGGACATGGTGACGGCAGCAATGGGTGTAAACCAGGCAGGGCGGAGATTATGAAGCTGGTTCAGGTGGGAAGTGTTTCAATGCGTTGTACGTAGGGTTGCTGGGATTACAGCTGACTACCAGTCACCACAACATTCATTTCAGAAAGCTGTAAAGGGATAAGGGAGCTGTGGTGGCCTAAATGGTAAGGAATTGTACTACAACCCAAAGGCACATGGTTCTAATCCACCAACTGATCTGTGGGAGGAAAACGAACACATTCCTCTCATGTGATTTACAGCCACTGACAACCTGCTGGAGGATCAACTGTGGTCCATTCTGACTTGATAGCCCATAACGACAACCTCTTCAGGTGTAGGCCGCTCTGTAGGTGTTAGCCTAGCACAATGACTCTCAAATCTCTGTGCGCTTTAGGGTTAAGGTACGGGGCTAGAAAAAGTATTCACAGAGCACTTTCTGTGAAGGGATTTTGGAGGCAAGTTCTGATTATGTACATTTCTAGCTTTATGCTTCGACTTTGGACTCTAATCTCTTGTAAAAGATTTCACTGTGGGCCTTTAGAACAGGGAGTTCTAATGGCAAAAAACAAACAAACAAACAAAACCCCAACCCCATATAATTATATTATCAAATTGCTTATATAACAATGAAAGAATTTTTCTTTTACTTTTCAAAGAGAACAATGAACTGGAGGGGAGGGGTGGGCAGGAAGAAAAGTGTAACTATGAATGCATGGAAATCCAAAATATCTGTAAATTTTTATTAAAATTAATAATAATAAAATAATAATTTTTTTAAAAAAAAAACCCCACAAGTGTGAAAACTCAAGTCTTCCCCGAAACTCCTCTTCCTTTGGCAGGCTGGGCAGACCCTACCACTCAGCCTCCAGGGCTCCCACAAGAGAAGAGAGGAAAACAGGCACTTCGTGGAGCAAGATGTTTGACACTCATGTTGTGGGTCTTACGTGCCTTCGAGTGGGAACTGAGCCTCCAGCAGTTGTCAGAGGTTGCAAGTCACCTGTGAGGAGACTGTCGATCTTCCTCAGGTGGATTCAAACCACTTGTTTTGGCATTGGCGCTGCAACTCTCCACCACTAGGTCACCAGAGCTCACTTGACACTCCAGGAACGTAAAACTCTAGCTTTGTGATCCTCTTGGTAGAATGTTCAAGTTCATGAGGACTGGGTTTAAACTGTCCCCTAGAGGCAGGACTTAGAGGAGCAATGTGAAGTCATGGCTGGTTGCCTCCACGAGCAACTGCCTCTCCTCCCGTGACTCCAGAAGGACTGCTTGGTTCCTGGGATTTCCAATCCCAGATTCTATAGAAGACTCTTGATGAAAAGTGGAGAAATGCAAAACTGAATTCAAATTTCTGCATGGAATTCAGACTCCCTGCAATGCTTGAGACTGGGTGAGCCCTGAAAACTATCATCCTAACATAATCTTAAACCTTAAACCTATTTGTCAAAGTCTCCTTTGACACAAAAGAGTTTATTTTCATTCACAAAGTTGATCTTCCTTGAGCATTGGTGCTCTGTTAAAGAATCATCTACATGTGATCAAATTGACCAGGACAATTCCAAAGGTTGGCTGGGAAGCTTAAGGGCCGTGGGTTTAAGTTAATGTGGAAAAGAATAATAAGAATTGTGGAAGGACTTAAGAATCAAACCAATGTCACGGAATGTTACATGTTAAAATAGTGAAAATAGCATATTTTTGGCTGTACACAAAAGCACAATTTTTCCTGAAGGTAGTATATAATGGACTTTAACCTTTAAACACCAGAGCCAAAAACATTCCTATAGTTTCCCGTCTTGGTATTAGGAACTTAATCTAATTGATGAATTTACAATCCTGATGTACACTTAACCTTCACCTACTTTGCTTTCAATCTCTCTCTGGTCCATGGTCCTGTGCAACTCCTCTAATAAATGCCAATTAGCCTACTTCATTTAAACATAAGGAACACTATTTCTAGACAGTCTGGTAGAAGGAGAAAGATTGACTAGGCAAGTCAATATAATATTTTTTTCACATTTGCCCACATATGAAAGATCCCTGTTTTTTCCAGTTTTCTCATTAAAAACAAGACAAATCTTGATCCCTTTCCAAAGTATCCAGCAGGAAAATGTTCTAAAGAGGTTAATTTCATTGACAAATCTCTAAAAGTCGATTATTTTTGTATCCTGGTAGTACAATGGTTCAGTGTTTGAATGTTAACTGAAATGTTGGCATGTTCTGACCCCCCAGCTGGTCTACAGCAGAGAGTCG